GACCAGTATCACATGACATTATCGCGGGCTCAGGTGTGGACCCATTGAGGTTACGTAGGCTCAACTCTGATAAGATACCTTTATTGCAATGTATTTTCATTAACGGGAGCTTCGCCTTTAGCCTCGACTAAATGTATATAGTATTATTATATACATACTGAGAAATACTCACCAAAAAGCTATGTCGTAAATTTTCGTACGCAAATTAGTTCTAGCCAATCAGAGGAGCGAACGATGGTTTTCACACGTGAAAAAATAATACGTCCAATCAGAATCGCGAACGATGTTTTTTCACGTGTGAGAAAAATGATACGTCCAATCAGTTTAGAAGCCACAGAGGTGTGTGATTTTCGCGCCAAAATTACCCCTTTTATTGCAGCTTGCAGCGCCGTTTCGCACACATTCAACGAGAAAAGTTTTACTCAAAGAGTTTTTCTCGCTAAAAAAAGTGAAAAACATTTCGGAAATGGAGTGGAATAGTTTCGTTTGTTTCACTGTCGGATAAAGAAAACGGTAGAGAGCAGGCGAAACATCAGCGGAAAGGGATGAACAGAACGAGACGTAAGGTCTTGTTGTGCTTTTTGTCGGAGCTACTTTGCCTTTCATTTAAGCTTAAGCTTATATTGAAACCGGCCATTTTACTTATATTCAATCATTTTCAATTGTGCATTGAGAACAAACAGTTAAGATTACTTATGGTTCTTTGATCACATATCCTCACCGTCATTTATGTTTTTAACAAACGTTTTTACTAAAAAGCTGGTACTTCGTTTTCGTTGTCATTTTGCGGTAAGTGTGTAGCGGCAAATTTTTAGCACTTTTGAAAGATTTAAAATAAAAAGGCCGCCAAAATGATGAATGTCTCAGTATGTATATAATAAAAACAATACCACATGGAAAGTGCTTTGTACGGTATTTACGCACTCGTTGTTTGTGTATCAGAAATCTTACTAGTTCGCTGCGCTCACTCGCTCGATTTCTGATACATCAACAACTCGTGCGTAAATACCGTACGCCAGCACTTTCCATGAAGTATTCTCTATTGACTTAGCCAAATGCTGGATGTGTGATGAAGCAATTTAAAGAAAGACGGCTTGGCGCTAGAAATTGGCTTCACAGTCATCCATACTGCATGCTTGATCATGAGTTGAATACACGGCTGAAAGACATCTAGCCCTACTCAATTAAGCCTGCGTAACGGGCGCCGGTTTTTTTGGGGGGAGACAGGGGAAATTTCGAGGAGGTGCGCGAACGGAACACTTATGGTGGAATTCAAACAAAGGATGACTCATTTAAAGTGAATTAAAATATAACAGTTGACATTAGCTTTGACTTTGGACTATTTTATTAAAAATTACCAAGTTAAATTTAACATGTTACACATATATATTTCTAGAGGAAGTGAAAAAGCTAATTTTACAACCTCTGAATAAAATGCGTTAAGAAGTAAAAATGTATCTAAGATATTTTAACTGATTGTTAGTGGGGTACTATCAATTAAGTACTTCTTGTTGACCCCAATTAAGATTTGCAGAAACTGCAAAAAATACAAAATAAATAAATAAATAGATAAAATCTACTGACCGTAAAAAAATTTTTAAAGCTGGGTAATTTCAGCAGTAAAACATGATATTATACATTTAGTTTGTTGCCATATCGACTTCGACTGAGGAATAAATATTAAGCAAATATTATGCAGCCGGCGTTGGCATGTGAAAAAGGATTCTAAAATTCTTGAGATAAAAACTCTTTCTACCAATATATGTAAAAAGCATAACGTTATCTAGCAGAGAGAAATAAAAATATGACATGCAATGAATTTATACTGAACCCTACATTATATTACATTCTGAGTTGTCTTGTCTGAATTTGCGTCCTTTTCCTTGCCTCGTTTTTCGTCTCCTCGTCAACTTCATCTTCCTGCTTTTTCTCTCCTTTTCTCTGTTGTTGTAGACTAAAGTCCTGATCATCTCCAAAAATACTTTTTCAACTCTAAAATCAATTTTTGCCGAGGTTTCAATGTATTCGCCTTCCAAACGTGAAAGAACCGAGAGAGATTCATGTCCTTGACGTGCCGTCACTTCTCGATCGGCGACTTCGATGTCCAACTTATTCCCAACCAAAATAACTGGGACAGAGTCTCCGCTTTTTCCTCGAAGCTCAGTAATTTCTTCCATGGTCTGAACAGCTTCTTTGAAAGACAGCATATTGTCCAAAGCGTACACGACGATAAAACCGTGGCTTGAACTGAGCGCCAATTTTCTCATCACGGGAAAGGAATATGAACCCGCAGTGTCCACGATGCAAATCGTAAAATGACTGCCGTCCACTGCAAGGGAGTGTACGTAGTAATCGTCCACGGTGGGAACATGATTGTCGTTAAATTCTTCGCCGAGGAAGGATCTAAGCAATGATGTTTTCCCGACACCTCCACTCCCCAAAAGAGCAATACAAAAGTCAAATGAAGGAATTTTTGAGGACGAAGCCATTCAAATGCACGGTCGCTCAGTTCTGTTGCAAGCCGGGAGCGCGTCGAAAATAATGTTGTCAGCTCTTACTTTTTGTTTGCTAGAGTACTCAATGCAATTAAAAAGTTTCCATGTGAACGTCGGATAAAAACGGCTACCCCAAACGTTGTAGGGTCGTTGGTTCTTTTAAAAACGAGATAAAGATATCTCGCTGTGGTTTTTTTGCATGGGTATATTCTCTAGGGAAAAGGGTTTCTCATAAAAATTTATAGGCAGTTGGACAATTAAAATTCATTACGTCGTCGGAAGTGAAGCAAAATTTGCCGCGCATTCTTTGAATCTCTTCCGTCAGTATTGTACTGTTTGAGTCGCCTATAAGTACTTGACGATATGTGAAATAGGATCGAGGACAACCAAGGTCAAAATCGGTGGGAAATAATCTTTTTCAATGATTACAGATCCTAAAAAGAGTAAACAACAAAAATCAGCAAACCTGGACATCATATGGAAACCAGTTTTTACATGTTGTTACCCGGGATCAGAATAATTAACAGGAAGGCGAGGCTTCACCAAACACAATTCACTGAATTATTAGTGGTTACACAAGCTAATTAGTTTTACATACTTACGCGTTTGATTAGTTATCCAATAAAGTAAAGTATTCAGTATAAATCACAACATAAGCAACTCTACTTTATCTTTAAATGGCATTTGAATGACACACTAAGTCCACAAGAAGTACGTAGCCAACAAGAATAACATATCAACTCAAAGGAAGAGAAGATCTGAATTGTTAGCCCTGAAACGTTTTTCGGGCTAAATTTGCAATTGCTTGAATTGCAATTAAAACTGTGATGGTCATATCTTCATTTAGATAACAACTCAACATTGACGGATTCCAGGGCTTAGAAGGAAATGCATGCGAGGCATCACGTGAGGGATTTCTTCGAACTTCGCTTCCAGATTAGACAATATCAGAAACGGAGGCTGTGGTTTCTTAAAGGGGCGGCTGCGAGCAGTCAACATAGGTTTGTTTTTGAAGGCAAAAACACTTTGCATTAAATCAGTGTTTCTCCGTCACGTACGGCAGTGCAAACTACAGAGGCGAAACGTCTGTTCCAACTAACGCTGTAACTGTTGATGAAGCAAATCTCGTAAGGCGTGGTTCAGTGTAAGCGCGTGCTTTCCCTTACCGAAAAATAGGCGAGATAAATTATCAAATTTTGGCGGAAGACATACTTTGGATGACGAACAAATCAAAACGCAATTTTTCTTTTACACTCAGCTCACTAACATGCAACTTCATAAAGCCTTCTAAAAGGTCGAGCAAATTCTTGGATGATTGAAAAAGGAATTTTGTATATTCAGTTGGATCTACGTTTGATTGAAATGCCTAGTAAAATTTACAAATTATACATTCTATACAAACGTACACTTCTTGATTTTTCTAATCTTTCTACTGTTTTTTAAACGAAAATATAGAGAATAATTGTTAACAGCGTTAAAACATAATAAGCATCACGTCCTTCAAGGCAGACGTGCGCAAGTAGCTTCAACTTTGTTTGACAAAAAACATTACAATATTACTGACATTTTTCAAGCGATATTTGCATACTTCCCAATTTTTTTTTCATTCTAGAAAGCACTTGCCGCAGAATACAGTGAAACCTGTATTAGCGGACACCGTATTAAGCGGACACCCTCTATTAAGCGGACAAGTTCCCAAATTTATTTCCTTTATATGACGCGGATACCAAAAAAGTACCTGAAATGGTCAGTTCTATTGTTGCCAACTTGTATTAAACCACAGGTAGGCCAAGCTCGAAATCATTGAGCATCGTCGAGCATCGGCATTGTTGCGTAACATTCAAAATATAAGGATTTGTATGGGAAAAAAACCTATCGTTTCTATACCCTACGAAAATGAAGGGATTTCAATAACAAAACAGCTTACCGTACTTAAAATGTGTGTTACGTCTCTCCTGCGTGGTCCACGGGCCGATTTATGGCCGTTTTATGGGTTTTTATGTAAAAAAATAAAATAAAATAAAATAAAAACAGCCTACCGTACTTAAAATGTGTGTTACGTCTTTCCTGTGTGGTCCACGGGCCGATTTATGGCCGTTTTATGGGTTTTTATGTAAACGGTTTTCTGGCTATATAAAGGTTTATACGGAGAAAACCGTTTACATAAAAACCCATAAAATGGCCATAAATGGCCATAAATGCAAAGAGCGGCGAGAGACTGCGGCTGTTTTCGCAGGTACAACAATCTCACACTTTTTAGTGAAACCTGCTCTTAACAAGCTTACAAGTTTACAAGCTCCCTTTTTTGCTTCAATAAACTCAGCTCCAATATGCTTGTTGATCTGTTGTCGACAAATATTAAATATTTTGTAATGTTTTTCATGTTTTGAATATCACACATAACCCTCTTATTTACATTACCTAGCAGAACTGTTTGTTTCGCTCTAATTGGGTTATCACAAGAATCTCAAGAAGAATACAACTTGGGTAAACGTGGCACTACGTGCTTTCTTGCGATTATATGTTTTAACCCTATACGTTCTTGCTTGTCCATCTAACAAATTTGGTTTATTCAGTTTTCTTACAATTAAAAGCGTCAGCACCCACTTCGCTTCACTGTTGATCACTGTTTATCGGCGGCGTGATGCAAAGTGTCAGAGGAAAAGGAAACAGACAGGCTAAAATATTTATTATTAAAATATTAGGCAGCCAAATGTAAATACTAGGGCCATTTATACGTGGAAAAATAAGACGCGGCTTAGCTAAGACGCGTCTTATTTTAGAACAGCCCTTAACACCTGTTCTTAGTTAAGGCGCGTCTTAGCTAAGACAAGAAAAACTTCGTATAAATGACCTTCGCGTCTTAAATAAGACGCGAACGCATAGTACGCATGCGTTAATTTTTGGCGCGCCACGTTGGGTTGCTGTTGCTACGGACAACATTCACATGAAAACGAGTCAAGAACAGAAATAAGATGTTCTCGTCTTAGATAAGACATGCTCGTATAAATGGTACAGTTCGCCTCTTATTTAAGACTCGTCTTATGTAAGACGCGTCTTATTTTTCCTCGTATAAATGGCCCTATTGTTTTTGATGCGAGGGGATAAACAGTATTACTCGGAGTATATTACCACATCTGTGTGTCTGCAACCTCAATCTTTAAAAGGTCTGACTTTAATAGGTAAACTGAGAGTATAAATATTTGCTTGATTTTACTATAAAGGGTTGCTTTATAGGTATTTGTTGTTGAAATACAAGTGCTCTCTTAATTTTCGAGTAGTTTCTTGCAGTTGCACCAAATGAGTGGGGAATTAATGGCGTGATCCAAAGGATTGAACAGACACTGAAAGATACAACACAAGACCAAGCCTATAATAATACTATGAAAAGTCATCCTTTAATACCGCAGGTCCCTAATTAACATAGGCTTGCTTCTTGAAGAAAAACGAAATACATTCGTTTTAGGAGGTTCTATCCTAAGTAAGACAGTTCCTTCTAATTTTAAGCCTCACAACATTCGGAAAGTTCTCAGTGAACTAAAACTGAAGACTAAAACAGATCGTTTATGAAGTAAGACGTGTGTCCCGTCCTACGAGGAAATGGTACCTTTGGAGAAATTCAAATGTCATCATCATCATCATCATCATCATCATCGTCATCATCATCATAACTATCATCAACCGGGAGCAGTCTCATATTAAAGTGTCATGAATGTCTCACTTCCGACTAGAAATTGGAGATTTTGCTGTCGATAATTAGGGCATTCAGGATTAAAAGCAAATATTTTTAAACAATAAGGTGCGACTATCATGGGTGTCTTGAACACAAAGACCCCCAAGACCCCTTCGACCCCCTACCAAATGACTCTGAACTTAATTGATTAGGGAAAGGAAACTGAGTGAATCAGGTTCCATTTAGGTCATTATACTGGGCAAACGGGCCTGAAAGTTGATTCACTCAGTTTCCTAACCCTAATCGTAGAGGTCTTAGGGGTCTTTGTTTTCAAGACACCCCTAGTATCACCTAGGGAAAGACAGGAAGAGTCATCCTCTCTAGTTTAGGGTTGCATGTAAAGAAATATCTATACAAAAACAACAAATGCCTTCATATCTTTATACAGCATTACCTTAGATTTTGGTCTTCCTTAGGGGTCAAATAGAGCATGAGCCACGCCCAGGTGGGTCTTTCTAATTTTTTAACGAGCACCCTGTCTCTTTCATTTTAGATTCAGCCCCTAAGGTAATCAGGAACACCATCATCATCATTACAATAATGGCCAACACCTTCATGACTAAAATCACCGTGAAATAATCATTGTTATCATCATCATTGTCATGAGCATCGTGGTCCTGTAAATTGTTTTCCTTGATCAAACTTCTACTGATCTAATTCATGCTACACAGGCAATGCTATCAATTACCGACATGGACAACCCATGAATTATCAAAACTTTCATGGTAGATGTTTTTTGTAGTGCAATGTGTAATTTACTGCAGCGACAGTTTACCATTGCCATTATAACCTGTGTTAATCGACCACCAGTTCTAAGTCAGCCTTTCAGCCTTTACAAAAAGTTCCTCTGCCACCTTTTCGATCCTATCTCTGTATTCTAACTTTTCATAGTTAGGTTTCGGAACCCCATCCATACCATACAACACTCCCCACCAAGCTGCTGCTATAACACCTGTGCTATCACTATCACCACCATGGAACATGGCTCGGCTACAAAGCTCTTCCCAGGATGCTCCAGCTCCTAGAAGTGCATCATAAGCAATCATAGGGGCATCATGACCACTAGCCCCAGCCCAACCCTGGCGAAAGCTCACGGATTTGTAAAATACATCACGTTCTCTGACAGAGTAAGGCTGAGGGAAAACAGGATCACTGTCACCATGGAGGATTCCCCTTGTTGTCAGATAAGCAGTCCATGAATCAGAGAAATAAGACCAGTGGTCTTCATTCTCCTTGACATTCCGTCCAGCCTCTTTGATGTACCTCAAGGCTTTTGGGAGAGTGGACAAAAGACCTGCACCCCACTCCCTGATAGGTCTTCCTTGAATAGCAAATGCAGTGAGCAGAGATGAGGCAAGGGATCCAAGGTAACCTGCCATTAACAATAATTGTTAATGGTAATGTTTATAATTATTATAATATCATTACCTTCACTGTACTGACTTCCGCACAATAAATGCCAATGCGGGTAAAGGCGCACAGACTAAGCACACTCAACCCTCTCTTATGGACACCTTTAGGACTGACATTTTGTGTCCATGCTATAGAGAGTTGACTAAGAGGAGTAAAGAAAGGCAGGGACCAAGTCTATGTGTCAGTTTTAGGGAGGTGTCCATCCTATAGAGGTATCCACTGAGAGAGTTGACTGGGCCTTACCAACAGTACACATTCATTAATAATCCCATTAAAAATAAGGCATTCATTCATGTCAAGATGTAAAAGGAATAATTTTTGAAGCTTTCTTTTCAAAAACTACCAATCAACCCAGCAAAGATTTTCTTGATTCACTTAATCATGTACAGTAAAACATTATTATTTTGTACTTTTTCATGACGTTCAGTGCTCCTTAATTCATTTCAGCTTAGCTGCTGAGGAGGAAGCACTCTTGCAGGAATTAATTAGTCCAGCAAACAACACTTAAATCCAACAAAACCTGGCTGACATTGCTGACTAGTAAAGCAGTGTTGAAATATAAAAACCTGACTGTTGTCAGGTGAGATGAATATTGTCTATTACCACTAGTGTAGGTTTAGGTTTTGCAGCATCCCTGTTAAGGCCCTCAAGTTTTATTTCACTCTTAACTGAAGCTTCAACAAACAATTCTTTGCACTATTCTTCTCACACTTTTTCTGTTCAAAGTGAGGAATCTGTTTAAAAATCAGGACATTTTGTCTGTACTGAATACTACCATCTCCCCATGATTTTCAAAAACAAATCGTGATGCCTGTATATAGTGAGAATTTTTTGGATTTTGATCTCTAGGAATGACATTTATAGGGCAAGGGGAAATAATTTAAAAGGTATAAAAGTGACAAAAGTACCTGTTGGGTGGTTGTGTGTCATTCTTCCACTCTCAACACTAACGACAATCAAATCATCAAGTTTCTCAGGGGAGTGATACAATAAACCAATACACATGGAGCGCATGGCAGCCCCACAGCCACCCCCTCGGGGATTAAATGGCACCACATAACCATCTGGCCGACCTGGTCGAAGTTTTGCACAATTTGATAATGTTGTATTTCCTGGTGCTCGTCCAACCATGTCTCTCTGAAAAGACATTTTTTAAGAAAGGTATTTTCCAAAATTTTCTTCAGTCCACCTTGCAGCTAACATCACTGGTTGATAACAGAGTACATTTTTGTCAAGAAATGGAAACTAGATCATTTCAGTCATATACAGGTTAGAGGCATGCAATTTCAATAATTAATAAAACATATGATCAGAGAGAAAGTGAGCCTCTGTATGGGTATTTCCGACAAAATCAAAGTTGCAACAATCATCATTGATGAAGCGACAATCCTACAGATTAAAACAATGATCGCATTGCCATTTCAATCAAGTTTGACAAAATTAGTCATGCAATAAAGGCAAAGAAACCAGCCAAAATGCCTGCTGCACATTCAGAGTTTTTTTGGCTTAGTTTATCGTTTCCGTCATCGTTGTGGTTGCCTGAGCTCGCTAGTTGCATTACCGCGCAAAAAAAAATTCTTGATATATGACAACTTTGCCTAAAAAACTGATTATTTGAGGGAAGACGCACAATGAAATGGACATCCGCAGGTACCCATAGAGAGGCTCACAGAGTCATACACAGAGTCCTGAGGCTTCTTGATCAGTAGGTGTTTAGTGGGAGAGACTCTGAAGGCACTAGAATAATATAAGGTTTTTTATTGTCTGGTCGCTTTAATTTCCTTACTGAAGAAATGGTGTCCAAATGGAGAAGTTTGCAAGAAAACTGAGGACTTGTCATTTAATTAAAAATACTGTTTTGTAGAAAGAAAACAATGAGAAGCTCTGTTATTCATGTTATTCGTTATTCAAAGCTCACTTACATGTAAAGCAAGATTACTTACATGGACAAAACTTGTTCATGGCGGGATTTCTGCAGGAAAAAATTCAACGTCCTGAGAGTCTCATCCCACAGACTAGGAAGCCTGATGGCTCTGGGATAGCTGAGGCTCTGGCTCTCTGATTCCCCCCCCAACCTTTAACTCCAGAACCGTAATATTAGCCATTAGATTATTTATGAGGGTACATGTAATCCATTTCTAAGAAGTTAAAAATATATAGTCTATGGAGAAGATGTGGCATCCATTAGAACAGGGTTACTTTTTGAAAAGCTAGCATGCAGATCATAGCAATAATTTGTATTTTACATGCATCGCTGCCAAACACTTAGATTTTATTTTTCTGTATTATGGGGACAAAAGTTAGAGATATGCCCACAGACTAACAAGTCAATGCTGCATTCAGAAAAGGTTGTATCGAAAACGAAGACCCAGAAAACAAAGACCCACTCAAAAGCGAAATTATGCTTCTGCCTTTTTTATAAGGGTGTAAGATGGACACGTGACCAGCCTATGCCAGGGTATTTTCCTGTCCACCATTGTGTTGTCAACATGGTTATATATTCAATAACCTCTGAGAATAAGAAGGTTAGAGATACAATGAAAGAAAACTTAAAATATTTGTAAAAAAAACTCTTGACAAATGTTATCTTGCTATCAGTGTTACACTACAGTTTTGGCAGTAACCCGATTTAGGGATGGGATAAACCATATACCAGTCCAAAGCTTTTCCACTTTTGGACATGTGTGAAGCAATAGCTTGACATCACATTATGGCAGGTTAGAAGCATCCTCAAGTCGATTCGAATTGGCATGGAAACCTGTTGTGTTTCGCGTTTTTCTGGCAGTCTTTGCTTGCTATTTAGTAATACAGCAACAAAGATGAAATGGTAGAAGACTTGTGCAAAAGATGACGAACCATGGATTTGAAGTATTAGAGAAGGCGAGATTTTTCTTTTCATGTATTGTGTCAATTTTACGCGTTCTTTTGAACAATAAATCATTTCCCTTTTGGAATATCTCTCGTGAAAAATTTTTTCAGGTCTTAAAAATATCCTCTGGATATTCTCGAGGTTTTCTAGTTGTTTCATGTGAAACATGGAGATGGGCCACAGTTCTGTTAGACGGGCCACGAGAGTTTTTCGTGAAGCAATCATCTGTGGCAAAATGACTGCCTTCTAAGAGGCTAGCAAATAAAAGATGTCTTAAATTTTGGACGATATCAAGCGTTTTCTCCCAGCTTCATTCACTGAATAAGCACTATACTACAACTGCCAATAGCAATGGGAGATCAGTATTGTATTGACCTTTTACATGTTATCTCTGGAAATATTTTACTTACTGCAGTGAAAAACCTGAAGGCGTTGGTAGTGTGGTAGACTGGCTTGACGACTTTCACCTCATGTTAAAACACTGGGTAAAGCAGGTAAATTATGCTGTTAGGGATTCTTAACTTTGACTGAGCTAGTATTTAGTTTTTTTCCAGTTGTCTCACATTTAGAGGTCATGAAGCTGGGTTTCACGCATATTGATTTCCTGCAGTCTTTGATTGACCCTGGTTGCAGAGGTTTAGCATTTTCTTTGACCTCTTTTAAAGCATTAAAGCTTTCTATTTTGGCTAAATTAATGTTTATATAAAGGTTTTAGTTTCTTTAGATTTCTCTGAAATGTCTGGATCGGAATAACTACTTGTTTCTTGGTCTGTGAATGTGATAAAATCCCTGCTAAGTTTTGTCACGCTGGGCCCACATGAAATCTTCACATGGCTTCGTTGCGACTGAAATCCTCACTAAAGGATATTAAAGTTATATTCCTGCAAACAGTTCATCCCTACCATAATGATTAGAGTTTTGTCTTCACAAAGTTTGCTTTAATAAAGTGAACTATGATATCCTTCCTGGCTACTGAGGCCAGTGTGAAATAACTCCCAGTGGACAGTACAGATAGAAGCTCCGGAGATCGGTCCGCTCTATTGCTATTTAGCGCATGCAAACAGATATTAATGACACATTTCTCTTTTTCTGCAAACAGTTCATCCCAGCAAGTAATGAAAGGGTTCATAACTTCCTTTCATATCTGAATTTTTTCATAGCATATGCTTGTATTGACTTGGTCATACAGAAATGAAGACAAGCCTCACGTCATGTGACTCCAAATTTGCTCCGTGGTTGGGTAATTGCTCGTCTTGGTTCGCAGATCAAAACATTTCCAAAAGTGAAAAAGCTCTGGACTGTATACACCTATATCTAATCCTACTATTCCTATTAAAGTAAATAAAATGTAGACCAAACATTTTGGAATGAATACTTTTTGAAGTAATTTCTCATTTCTGGATGGCTATAGAGATGCTTTGATAAACTACTAGAGTAGGTTGACAAAACACATAAAACACCCTTTTTCAGGTCATTTGGCCCCCAGTCACCCAACGGCAGCCCATCTTTGGCCTATCTGTGGGAGGACAAGCCCGTGACGTAAACGATATCCTAATTTTCAACGGCTGATGTCGGAAAATGCTTCATAAAATTCGGAACTTTGCATCCAGGGCATGATCATTAACTGTAAGCCAGATAATTAAGTTCACTTATCTTTTAACTATTTTGTGGTCTTATGTGAGTTAATGGTGTTTGATTTGATTTGATCCTGGTTGATTGTCTGTTCAAGACTTTATGCATCGATTGGGTTTTTGCGTGGGTCTTTGTTTTTAAGTGGGTCTTCTTTTACGAGGGAGTCTTCGTCTGCGAGTAGAGGGGGTCTTCATTTTCGAGTGGGTCTTCGTTTTCAAAGGGGTCTTTGGTCTTCGGTCTTCGTTTTGGGGGTCTTCATTTTTGATACTACCATTCAGAAAGATAATAATTATGCTCAAGGATTTTTCTGACAGGGATAAGTGAAGGTATAATTCTATTAGAACGATAAATCATATATTTGCTTATTAAATGATTTATGCTTACCATACTTTCTTTGTACAAAGAGGCAATTTGAGTAAAAAGTTCTTCACGAGTTGCCCAAGTTGACACCAAAGCTTCCGCTGTTGCCAGGTGTAACACAGTGTCATCGCTCACCATCCATCCTTTTATGTCAATTTTCTGAATTCCTCCAAGCTCAAGCAACTCATCGTGGATAGCTTCCCCTGAATGACAAAATTCCCAATTGCCATTTTTGTAGCCCAAGGCATCTCCCACAGCACTTAGGAGCATACAAGCTTTAAACTGATCCTTGGAGATTGGCATTTTGAAACAACCTGGTATGTAATGCACAAAACATTTAACATGTAACTACAAAACTCATGCTCAAGACAGTGTCAGTGTCAGTGCCAGTGTAAATAGGCTTTAATTGCCGTATCCGCACTGATCCGACCAACTGAATTGCGGAAAATAAGACATTCCCACATGGTCAACATGCCATGGCAACAAAAAAAACTTAACTTAAGGGAAGTATTCTACATTCGACCTACTCAATCGCCTGATGAGAACGGCATTCTCGCTCACCTCTCTGTGAAGTTGCACCAACCAAACGTTTCACGACTCCAAACGTGCACCGCAGCATGAAGAAGCATGAAGTGACAGGCGATTTTCAGAAAGGTTGGATCCAGTCTTCATTCAATCGATTTCCTCCTCGGCTTGTCACGCGCCTTCATTTTGAACACCGACGCCAGAGACGCTTGTAGCAAAGTGTGTTTTGCTAGGCCAGCCACTGAATTTTCCTCTTTTCAAGGCGTATGTCGAAAGGTAATGCTATTACTATTTAAACTCTTACCTTTGATCAAATTCCTACATTAGTGGGTAATAAATCAAAGTTTTCGTTTGGATTCTAAGTTCAATACTAATGCGAGGTATTGAAAAATCTTTTTCCGCATCTCCGTAACTTTTATCAGACCCATATTTCCGTCTTTCATTTGAATTTACAGGAGTATGTAGACGTTGTTCCTTTTGGTCTCTTAATCGATCGGTTCACACATAGTTGTAGGACATAGATTTTATATTTAGAATCCAAATCAGTTGAGTGCCGCGTCTTTTGTGTCGTCACGCAACCCAGGGGTACCCAACGAGAATATAGTTCAAAACCACTCAAACATAGCACTGTTAAACGTATTTTAGTATTTAAACGGTAGATATAGGCATATTTTTATCCTCTAAAAATTTTTCATCTGTTCGGATTTCCTAGCTGAAAGCCTAGTGATCCGAAAATTATAGGGATCAAAACTTACCTTTTCGAAAATTTCAGCCAGAAAAAAGGCTCCCGAAAATTCTAGGTGACCTTTTTAGGGTAAAAATCCGTTAAAAATAGGCAATTATACCATTTTTTTGATGTTCGAAAATCCTAGGAGAGGCAGGCAAGCAAGACATTTTACAACTAATGTTCCGAAAATTGTAGATCTAAAATCGCCATCCGAACAGATATTCTTCCGAAAATTGTCGTTGGGTGCCCCTGACGCAACCCTCCTCCTCCCCTGACGTGACACAAACAAACGGCTGCATAGGAGACTACCTTTCTCACATTTTTAATGGATAGAATTCCTATGAAGACATTTATAGACTGTATTGGATATACCCTACTAGCAGAGCCGCTAGGAAGATCAAAGGACACACTGCTCGCAGGGTATACTATAGTTTGGACTGGGTACTCTGCAATGAACGGTCAGTATAAAACAGGGACTGCGGACTACGGATTACGGACTGTGTATAAAACAGGGACTAAGTATAACATTCGGACCACGGAGTATGATTTTAAAAATTGAGCGTATTATTTCTAAATAAAACAACAAATTTTAACGGATCTTAGTTCGGGTACTGTCCGATTCACGTAAACGATTAATTCAAATGATCAAACCCATCAAAGGGTTTCAAAGACGTGTAATCTGCTTGACTAAAGTTTTCCTCAGTCCATTTTTTTTGGAGACAAAGGTCTGTTTATTTGTTTGCGATTATGTTCATGACAATGTGAGACCTCGTTTAAGAATTACTTTGAAAAAACGGACCATTACCGATGATGTGAGCACAAGATCTGCTCAGTTCCCCGCTCGACAAAAGGCCTGTTCGCAGGCTAGCGCAACTAGCTTCTCCAGCTTCACCTTCAGTAGCTGGGTCAGGTAGATAGAGCTTCTTTTTCTTACCTGATATAATATTTTACAGTTTACCACTAAAAATTAAGAAGCTACCATCAGGACCCTTTTTTTTAATTTTTAAAACTAAACTAGTGAGCAGCACTCTGCAAACTGTTGCTGTAAAACTTGTTTATTCTCCTACGTGTTTCATCTAACTAACGTAGACTTCTCCAGGGAGTTTAACAATCATATACTTATCGCCTGTATGTAAGCCATAATGTGACTAAAATAATGATGGTTGCAAACATTGAAGGTTTGGCCGGAGTTACGAAAACGAACAGGTGCAGCTGTGAATTTTTTTACGCAAGGCGTGAGAAAACTTTGGGGCCACAGTTTTAGCTAAAACCGTGGCTTAAATACAGGCGTTTAGTATTTGATTGTAAAACTCCCTGAAATCTACCTTTACAATTGTGCAATAGAGAATTTGATACCTGTAAACTCTGTTAGCAACTGAACATACAAATGTTTGTTTTGAAAGCAACATCTAAACACAAATATTATTTTCTTTTTCAGTGTTGCAAATTTTCCGGGACCGGTTGTTCTTGCTACGTCGCGAATGATGGCTTCTTTCCAATACAAAACTTTATCGGCTATACATTTTTCTTGTAATATAGCATGAACAACAAGAAACCATAAAAAAACAGCAGCAGGGGCGGCTCCAGGATTATTTTAGAAGGGGGTGCACTCGTCTCTTGCTGTACTTCAACACCAATAAACCACATAGGTTTTTTTTTGCAGAATACCAGTTGTATTAGAAAACCGCAGGTCATCTCAGGATGGGGGGGGGGGGGGGGGGGGGGCACCCCCCCCCCCCTTCCCCCACAGCCCCCCCCCGGGGCGCCTTTGTTTTTATAAAACCAATTTTACACCTAATCACAAACCCTTTCCCCCCCAACGCCCCCTGCGTGATTGTCTGGGGTGGTTGGGCCCTTT